GAACTTACGTTATATGTAGGTACAGTTCAGACACATACAAATACATACACATATACAAAAAGCAGATATATACATAATATATATACATATATATATATATATATATATATATATATATGTGCACACACATGTATTATATACACGTATACGTATTTCATGGTAAAGAGGCGTCGATGGAATTTTTTTCATCCGCACTTATAGTTATCGATTTAGTTCTATGTCCCATCGAATGTTCCACGTTTCTGTCGATTGTCAAGCTTTCGGAATTCCAATATTATCAGAAAATTAAATATTACTTTAATAGGTGGCCACCAATTTTGAATTATTAATCGAATTGGTCGTAATCGGAGATCGAAGAAAGATGAAAACTTTCCGACTCGTATTTTAATTTTAATTCCACATTTTCTCAGTACATTTATTTTTAATACTATAACCTTTGAATAATATCAACATATATATATATATATATATATATATATATATATATATACACGTTATAATTTAACTGCATGTTTACGTAAGTTTTGAATGGATTATTTGTTTCAATACGTCGAATCGATCGAATATAATGGAGTCTTTTTATTTGAATACTTTACTATGGTTACGATCGTTTCCTTGCTATGCGCAAATCTCCCTTTCATTTTATTTAATTTGAAAAACTTTTCCAAATAATTTTTAGGTATTATATATATATATAGATTTCTTTTTTTTTAATTTCTTTTCATTCTTTCTTTCATTTTTTGTAATTCGCCGTTCAAAGGGTTAACGATCACTTTTCCAGTTCGACACTCAGCCACTGTTTATTGTTTTTTTTCTTCCTCTCTCTCTTTCTCTCTCTCTCTCTCTCTCTCTCTCTTTTTCTCTTTTTCCTCTTTCTCTGAGAAGAAGCCTCTCCCGTTAGAGTTAAGCGAATATTTACGTCCGTAGGAACGAGCAATTGAAAAGCTTTCAGAGAACCGTCGGTCTGGAGAAAGAGAGAGAAATTGAACGAGTGAGAGTGAGAAAGAGAGAGAGAGAGAGAGAGAGAGAGAGAGAGAGAGAGAGAGAGAGAGAGAGAGAGAGGGAATATCCATGGTACTCTTTTTCAACCACCTCAAAGCTCCTCTCTCTTCGTATTTCCTCTCTTTCTCTCTCTCTCTTTCTCTCTACCTTACACGCACCCGAAGCTTTTTGCATTCGCCAAGGTGCATCGTAATTAGTGCGTCTCTCATTGTAACGGAGTACGAGAAATTCATATAGATTCACCAGACGGCATTATTGAGAGCGCGAAACTGGCCGGTTAGTGGCAGTTGCTTGCGTACGTATACGGAAAAAGAGGCCGTTTTCTCTCTCTCTCTCTCTCTCTCTCTCTCTTTCTCTTTTTATCTTTCTCTCTCTTTATCCTTTCTTCTCTCTTTCTCTCTCTCTCTCTCTTTCTCTTTCTCTCTCTCCTGTTTCCACCGATATACATATAGCTAGAGATCTCTTCTCGTGTACCATAGTATATACATATATATATATATATATATATATATATATATATATATATATACTTAAACCGTTGCACTATCTCCCCCGGTGCTACGCGTTTATTTTCTTACGGGGCATAATTGTTACGCTTACTTTCATCCGCGAGGCGAACAACGCGTCGTTTTCAGGCTCTCTCGTGCAACTCGAATATCGCCGTGATACTCTTGCACCATCGTTTCTCTATTCTAACTTCGAGTCTTTCGAGCGTAAAAGTCCTCCGATTTCTTTCCACCGATAATTTAACATTAACAACAACTTTCCAATTGAAACTTCTTATTGACGTAAATATTATTTAAATGTACTAATGATTGATGTACAATGATGATTGGTGTTTTATGTGTAAAAGCGTTGAAAAAATTTCTTAAATTTGTTTGTTTGTTTGTTTTTTTTTTTTTTATTTTTTTTTTCTTTCTCTATGATAACTGTGATCCTGTTATTTATTTGAAGGATCAAGTGTGTGAAAGAGAACGGGAAGGAGAGGATACGTTTTGAAATTTGCTTGTTTCGTTATATTTGATTGATATTGAAAAATGTGACTTCGTAGCGTTCGATTATCGTTTTCTCTCTCTCTCTCTCTCTCTCTCTCTCTCTTTTTTTCTTTTTTTTCCTCTTAATATACGTCCGATGAATCATCATTCATTTAAAGATCCAGATGCAAGAGAATGGAAAACTGGTAGCATTGAAATTGGCCTGAATTTGTGCCGAAGAAATGCGACATACTTCATGTTCTTGTGGTTAATGTTGAAAGATGAATTTTTTTTATTTTTTTTTTATTTTTGTTCATTATACTAAAATAACGATGGACGATTAATTGTTATTTATTTAAAGATCGGACATAATGAAAGAAATCGAGATACTGGCGGAATCTTAAATTGGCCTAAATTCATGACGATGAAATATATACGTCATATTTGATGTTTCTTTTCTGATTAATGTTTCTTTTTTTTTTTTCTTTTTCTATTGAAATAACGCGATACGTGATTAATCGTTTTTTTTTTTCTTTTTTTTTTTTCTAAAGAATAGGATATACCCGATGAAAGGTATTGATTTCATCGAAATTGGCCTAAATAAATGGAATACAGTATATCTGGCTATATTTTTTTTTTTTTTTTTTTTTTTTTTTGACTAATTTTCGAAACTCCATCTTCCTCGTATTTTGATATTAATTTATTTATTTTCGAATGACAACGACGTGGTGATTAATTGTTATTTATTAAAAGATATTGGATATTACTAAAAGATTGCAAGGCCGACATGATCGAAATTGGATTGAATATATGACGATGACGTATGACATACTTTTCTTATCCATAGTTTAACCGTTCCTCTCGAATCGATTATTTCGAGAGCAAGGTGCTTCATGTGAAGGAAGTCGCTTACCCAGCTCGTTCATTTCTTTCTTTGAAAAGGGAACACGCTGGCTTTTATCATCGGTTCCGTCTCCTTTAAACGGAGTGTAACCGGTTAATTGAAAAATTGCCCGTTCGCTCGGAGCGCCGTCGAACTTCGAATAAGAAATT